AGTCCACAGGAGACCATAGTCCACAGGAGACCATTAAGAGAAACCATGAGCGTGTGCCACATTATTAATGTTTTAGTATTGTTGTGTTAGGCATGTTTATGAAGTCTGAGCTGGAGGCTAGGTTGTAGAGTGTAGATTTTTCACGATTCTGTTGGGCCGGCTGTAAGTACAAGTGCCCCACTGAATGGGAGCCCCAGTTGTACTGGTGCCCTGTTACACAGCTGGGCTAGAATGACAGTGAAGCACTATTTGCTAGGGTACAGCAGAGGTGACTCCAGCAGGTACATGAAATCACAGCCCTGCAGCAGGAGTCCAGGGCCCTGTGCACGGCCGTACACTGCCTCCAGATTTGAAATGGTCCAGAAGACATGGCTGTCTGGAGGAGTGGTTTCAGTTCTGAGCTCAGAACTGCAGGTTTGCAAGTTGTGAGCAGGACACTGCTCTCATAGCCTTCAGCAAGGATACTTCACTCAAATGCCCGGATACTCAAATACACACATGCAGGTTGCTTTGGATGAAAGCAGCAGTTGCGTAATTAATCAGCTGGGTTGTTTTTACTGGAGATTGGTCAAACACAGTTCAGATGTGGTCAGTACATGGTAAGGCAGTGGCAGAAGACTTTGCACCCCACTCTTTCTTGCTAGTGATGTGTGTTGTGTTGTTGCTGCGCAGTCAGACTCTCCAGATTACAGCATCTTCCATGCCCATCGAAATGGATTAAAATTCAATAAAAATGTCGTGCTTTTCCAGATGTTAGGACCTGCCAGTAAGTGCATGATCGTTTGTGAATGTTGCGTGATATTTTAGAACTGTGATTTAAGAAACGAGCAGTTACTTTAAAGAGTTTAGAATCGAGTTACATGTTCATTCAAAGTAAAGGAGGAGAGCTCCTTTCTGGCTTCACAACACCATTCGAATGGAGAGATGATTGCATGATCAGTAAATCCTGTCGCTGTTCGAGCTGAAGGGCTGTCACGGTGTATTTTTATTCTGTCAACGTGAGATTGTCCGAATCAGTCGAGGCCAAGCTGAGATGGGAGGAACAGCAGGAAAATAGTGAGAAGATATTCCTTCTTATAGCCATGAATAGGAACTCAAACGACCAGTAATTGACATCAGTTCATCCCACACTGGTAGCTAGTGCAGAATATGCTATCTGATGCCTTTGTACAGCCCCCTCCAAAGCGATTGACTGCACAGTGAATGTTACCCAGAGTGCTTAGCCTGGGTGCGGGATGTAAGGTCAGGGTGAACAGAGGGGGATTGTGGGCCAGGTTGGCCTCAGGAGCTGCTCTCGGAGGCACGCCGAGATTGGAGGGTGGCAAAGACTGCTGCATGTCGTACACTGATGCTCGCTGCCCCAGATGCGTAGTCATGGTAACACACAGCTGATAAAAAATGAAGCTTGGTGATGTTAAGTCCAACACTCCTGGTACTGGATTTAAGGCTCCTTTAGTGTTCAGAAACGTTCCAAAGGTAGTTTCGGTGTTTTTTTTTTTTAAAGGGTCTTCACTAAAAAGCCTGAGGGGTGCTTTTAAATTGTGGCATAATAGTTATCATTGAATAATTTAACAGCTGCATAAGCATTTATTTTTGATTATTCCGTTAGATTTGCCCGTCTAAACCTCTCCCTGGGATAATCGACTTATATCTTCACCCTGTTTGTGTTGTCAGGGTCTCCAGTAAAGACTAAGATGGCAGCACTGGAGTAAGACCACAGTAACACTTCTCATCGAAAAGATCGACAGAGCAGTAGTTCATTCACTTGTGATGAGGGGATAATTGTTCTACAACTGTTGAAGATTTAAAGGGCTCATGTTCAAAGTATAGGATGTATAACTGGGTAGAAATGTGCAATTCTATAGGAGTAAATGAGAACTGTGGTGGGACTATACATGGAAGGAGAAAAAAAAATTCCTGTCTTTTTCTTGAAAATCACACTGTTATCACTGGAGACATTTTTTTCCAATTCAGGATCTTCAAATAGATCGCTCCCCCTTTTTGGATCTTCAGTTGTGTCTGTCAGTGACCCCTGTACCCCACCCACATGGGCAGAATGAGGCGGTGCGGACAGGCTCTCTGACCCGTCCAGCCACTGAGTCTGGTTTGGCCTGATGCCATGCAAGTCACAGGTATCACTCTCTCACTGGCAGCGGAGAGACCACTGACTGTCCATTCCCAGCCTTGCCCCTGGTGACGCTGAGCCAATTGCGCGCTGCTATTTGGCGAGTCCCGGTCACAGTGACTAGCGTGACCCGGGGCTCAGATGTGTGTGGGTCTCAGAACTGTGCTCAAAGCCAACACACTGACAGGTGGAGACTGATGTCTAAGGTGTCTTTGTCAGCTTTTTTTCCCCCTTGATCCTGAAGTTCAAAACGGTTTATGAAACTTACAATGCATTTGTTAATCCTTAATCTGTTACTACCTAGACTGATGTTTTAGCGGCTGTCTGATTTCTATCACCACTATTCAACGCATCCCTTTCGAAAGTCAATTCTCAAGGACATCCCATCTCCATCCATTTCTGAATTGCATTATCCGATACAGTAAATCAAAAACAAAATATTCAGTAACGGTACGCTTGTTTTTTTTCCCCTCTATCCTTTTTGACTTTTAACAGCGGCTCTGCTTTCTCTTCCTCCAGGGATCTGCCACAGTACGGGCACAAGCAGTGGCAGTCGTACTTCGGGAGGACCTTCGACGTGTACACCAAACTCTGGAAGTTCCAGCAGCAGCACAGGTACATCCCATTCTGCACTGGGGCAGTGCCTGCATCACAGCTCGGGACAGTCCTCATTCTGCACCCCTCTCAGGCGAAGCACAGGAGTGTTAGAAATATGCAGAACAATTAAAACAGTAGGAAGAACACGTGTCTTCCCTCTTGAACCTCATCGTAGGGCCGACAGCGCACAGGAGATTCTGTACAGAGAAAAAGAAGACAGCAGATAATTCTGTAGGGGTGACTGAGTTAAATGATGCTCCTGCTTCGTTCTTTGTAGCTGTCTCTGAAGTTTTTCAGTAAAGCAGTGTAGGCTCTAAGGTCTTATTGGGCACACAGCTCACATGCGCCGACACTCTGTGGAAACACGAGATAAAGGGGATTCCACTGTCTCAGAATGCAAAAAGGGCATATTGAAGTCAAATACACATTTGATCAAAAGTGATGTGGCACCAGCTGCTCTTTTGGTTAGTCGTAACGCAGTGAAATGAGGATCTTGCCCTCCTTCCAGCAGCAGTGCTACTGCTTTGCAGTCTGTTCTGAACAGATCTCAGCTGCTAGGCAAGGCTGGGCCTGGTCGGTCCTGGATCAGAAACCATTTCTCTGCTGTTTGTGGACCAGTAGGGGGTGATCTTCCCTGTGGACAAGAATTGACAAAAACTGCAGTATGGTCACCAGGGACATGGTGGTATACTGTAGGAGGTGCTGTCCTTTGGATAAGAGATTAAAATGAGATTCTGACTGCTTGGTAATTAAAGACCAAGGCATCCAAGGGGTCGTATGTGCATGATATTAGATGTGTGTACTGGAGTACTAGTACTGAATCCCACTCTGGGCTTGTAGAATTGAAACCTTAATTCAGTTGGTGAAACCTTTTCACTTTTTCACTTCTCCACTAATGTGCTGTGTGGTAGGGGAATGTTTTGGAACGAAAACTGTATATAAATGTAATCAATCATTCTTATCATTCTTTATTGCAACTATTAGGTCCAGCTCTTTCTTTAAGGATCAAAGAGGATCTTCTTTTCTGCAAAGTTGAGCAGATATCTCCTGGTCCTTAAAACCCTGTGCATAAAGATGGACCTGATGTTTTCAGTCCTAGGTCCACATGCCCTTCAGTTCTTTTGTGTGAATGCACTGATTTGCACAAAAATCGCCAACTTACTGCTGTTTCTGAACTTCTGCACAACAGTTCATCTGGGGACAGTACATCTAACTCAAGCGGAGATTTTCAGGTCATAATGTACAGTACAAACCGAAGACAAATTGATAGATAGGAGGGAAAAATACTCTAAATACTTATAGACTGATTTTATATGACAGGAGATGTGGTAAAAGGATCTATTTAAAGCTTATGTTAATGAACTTTCTTTTGAAAGAAACACAGTAGTTTATGTCAAGCAAACTGTGTGTGAAATGTTAATGGAGAACTGACGTATTTTTAGATTCTATTTTTCTTTTAACACTAAAATTATATAACCCATACAGGAGACTTAAATAGATAGATGAATAATAAATAAATAATGTGCAGGAAGACCTGTCAGATATATTTAGTCCTGCACTGTGAGTATGGAAGGTCATTTATAGTCAGAAAAAAGTGTTTCTTTCTAAATTTAGATCTGCTGAATGGTCCTGCACCTAAACGAATATGAGTATAAAGTTTCAGACCTGAACTTCAGGGTAGTTAATAGCTTTTGGTTGCTGTGAATTTCCATTTCTGTGTCTGACAATCTGCCATATTGCATCTAGTACCTATATCAGAGTTTCGTGTCCCTCATGTCTTTGAAAAAATAGACTGTAATATCAGAAGTCATTAGTTAAGTGACGCAGGAACTTTAATAATTATATGATGAGAAGCTAAACATGATGGATGCAAACCAATATGTTTAGACAGTTAAAAAAAAAAGCCTGCAAAAATGCAGAATGGACTTATGGAACTATACCAAAAAGCATTTCAGTGAGTGAAAGAGTGCACCAAGGCTACCTGGTGTAGGTTGATGAATGGGTTGTATTTTGCAGACAGTGAGTCAGCATTGCACCACACTCAAAAGCTAACACAGGACTGAGGGTATTCTGTATGTGTGAAGGGACAAGAGGCTCTGACAGGTCGGTGATGGAAAAGTATGTCCGCGGGTCTGTACTTTCCCTGTGAGTTGATAACTGGCATTAGAGAAATTCTCTACACTACAGGAACTTCCAGGTGCAAGATTTATAGTGCGCGAGATGCGGCTCAAGCCTTTCTCCTGAATTTTAGGTTGTAACTTCATTCAGCACTGTGGTAAAAGTTGATGTGGACCGTTCTGGAAACACAAAGATTTCTTGTATTGTATCTGTAGTTATAGATGTTAATCTTCATACTAAATACTGTACAGTACATTGACGTTGAACTAAAGTGTTCAGTGCTAAACTGCCTCTGAGAGCCCCAATAAACGCTTAACCCGGCCCAGAGGATAAGGAAATAGAAACTCCTGAGGGTTTTCCTGCTGTGGACCCACAGAAATAAAGAGAGTAGCCTGCCATCCCACCCACAAGCAGTTTCTGGGAAGAGTGGTCATTGTTTTTGTCGTGAAAGATGGCCGCAAAGTTGGCAAGTAATCTGTGACGATGGGGGTAAATTTGATGTCACGGATCGCAGACAGTACCAGGTGTGCTCTCCTACTCCTGATAGCCTGCGCGTGAGCCTGATAGAGCTGGGACTGAAGATCTCACTAATTCATTATGCGCTCTTTCCTCAACACATTACGGGCTGGGATAGCGAACTGGAGTTAGGGGGGGCGCCACAACCAGCACTGGCTGGCCAGCGTGGAAGTAAAGTCCAGGGCCGACTCGGAGCACTGTCACAGCTCTTCTGTGTCTGAACAGGCAGGTGCTGGATAACCGGTATGGCCTGAAGAGATGGCAGATCGGGGAAGTGGCTTCCAAAATCGGACAGCTGTACTATCACTACTAGTAAGTCACAGCACCGAAGCCAGGCGGCAGCTGAATCACCTTATCGGAACAGCAGATCCTCCAGTCCAGGGACACAGACATGCTGTAATAAGGAAACATGGTGCTTTTGTTGCCATATGGTCCAGTCTGGCCTGTCACTACCACATTGGGTAATAGCACATAGAGTTCTGTGCATCTGTAGATTTAAAAGTTTTAGTATCTTCCAAAACATCAGTCTTCACACATTGAACTAAGTTTTTTATGCGAGTGCAGATTAACAACAAACCACTACAATATATTAGCTAATGGAGAACCCGAGATTAAATACTTGAAACCTGCTGTTAACAATTAGTATAACAAATCTGTTATCTTTTACTCAAATGTGTAGCTTATCATGATTATTTAATACATTTGTTAACAATACATTGATTTTGCTCTCCAGGAATTTTAGAAATGCATTGTTTTAAATCAGATTTTTGTAAATTATTGTTTGTGGTAAAGTCTGTTTCTTTTTTTGTGCTTCCAGCCTACGCACTTCGGAAACTAGCTACTTGAATGAAGCTTTTTCCTTCTATTCGGCAATAAGGCAAAGGTCTTACTACTCCCAAGTCAGTAAAGAGGACAGGTGAGTCACAGCCCGTGACAATAGGATTAATAACGTCAAAGTGCATTTCAGACTTGCAACCAGCAAAGCCTGCCGTTAATTTCAAGAGATTTGTTTTCTCTATCCAGTAATTGTGCCGTCTCTTGTGAAATTCCTTTCTTTAAATTGGTACCATCGCTTGAGGGAAACAGTGAGCACATTCTGTTTCATTTTGTACATAATGCTTTATCGTCTTCGACCAAAGCTTATGAAAGCGTTAACGGTGTTGGATTGTGTAACCATTGCCTAAGATTAAGGCTGGAAAAACTTGTGTGGGGATCTGTGTTTGGTTGCCTTTCCAGCTGAGACATGTTAGGTTGCCCTGTCCAGAACTATCCTGGTGGAGCTGAGGCATGGACTTCAGCCTTGCTCAGGAAAGGGGTTGCTGAAATTTCTCTTCTTGTCTCTCAGGCCAGAGCTGGTGGTGAAGAAACTGCGGTACTATGCACGGTACATTGTGGTTTGTCTCCTGCTCAACAAAATGGACCTGGTGAAGGATTTGGTGAAGGTACAGGGTGCCTCTGGCAGATGAACTGCCAACATACACACGTTTTGTGCTCCTCCCCTTCCTTATACGTCTTTAATTTGATAGCAGTGGCAGTGATTGATTCTTGGCCATTACCTGCTACCGATCCATTTTTTCGACAGATGCAAGTTGTTAATGTAGTTGTATTCTTAAGAGAGCGATTTTAAGTAAAAGCCACAGTCACCCAGCACATTCATCTCCAATCATTCCAGCTGTAATAAAACTACTGAAGCCAGCTGCGCAAAACGTTTCCGTTTCAGCAGTAGGGAACGTGTAAGCTGTCAGGCCTGTTGTCTTCTGTGCGAACGTGTGTGTTCAGTAAGAGGTTGACACACAACCCCACAAGCCTCCCCAATAGGCAGAACACCCTTGCCCACCCCCGG